GAAAAGAAAGGAAAAAGTTAAATAATACAAAAAGCACACAACAAAACAAAAACCAAAAAAACTTGCTTTAAAGCAGCAAATTCCCTCCTGGTCTCTTTCTGCGTTATCAGTTCCTCTGTAGGGCACTGCAAACACACTACATTTATTGAAAACCCCAGTGTCACAAGCTTCTGTGGAAAAGAGCCCTAAGGATCATACACTCTGTGCTCCTCGTCCTCACTCCGACGAGCTCGAAACTTCCTAGTCTGGCCCTCCACTAGAACTTTATGCCACAGATGATATCTGCAACAATAAGAATAAAAATCTTAATAGCTATTGCTGATAATCCCAAAAACAATTTGAAGTTTGACGGCGATGGCAACTGTTCAGTCCCACTGTTGGAGAGAATTCATCTATGTTGGTGTCACAAGTTTATTAGGGGTACTTTTAGCATTTTTAGCACTAAGATAAGGGGGTATTTGTTTTTTGTGCCTTAAGTTCAAGACTGATTTAGTGACACTGGAAGTGATTCGTGGAGTTTCTCTACATTGAACCTAATCACTGGATCCTCTAATAGGAGGTCTCCTGGAGTATGTGATCATTCATCAGGCTCCTTCTCCTCTTTTCCCTCTCCGGTTCATGGCTACTCCCCTACCCCCACTCCCTCCCCATTTGGAGCGTAGAGCCAGGACTGAGTGCAGAGAGTCATGTGGTGGTGCCAGGGTAGAGGAGGAGCCCATCCATTCTAAAAGACACAGTTGCTGGTAAGGGCTGTTCGCCCAATCATCACTGTATAGGGCATACAGAGAGTCCTGGGAAATGTCTTAAAGTCATGGATCGGATAAGCCCCCTCTCCCATAATGCTCCTCTTTGTCCAGGAGCAGGAAGTGAGCAGGAAAATATGCCAATAGATACATTTTTGCTAAGAGTGGGTTACTGTATTCTTATTTAAAATCATATTATATAGGTCATTTCTTTTTCTTTCATACTTCTTCTTTTCCACCAAGAGATCCACTGTTGAACAACATTGGATCGCTTTTCAGGTGGATCGCGCTGCAGTGAGCAGATGAGGTGTGTACGCTAACAGATGTCCCACCACCAACATGCACATTCTCTGGTGTAGAAGTTTTTTCTTTCGGAGGAGTCAAAGGTGGCTATTTTTAATACTTCGTATTCTACAATTTGGTACGACACTGTTGTTGGTTCATTCAACAGGATTGCCATGTGGCCTTGCAATGTCTGGAAAAATTTTAGAAATAGATGTTTTACCTTCCAAAGCAGCAGAGGTTGGAAATCTAAAATTAAATATAATTTGTGTACTGAAGGAGTTGTAGGCGATGACCTGTATATTTGGTTTGTCACCAGCAAAGTTTAAGGTTTTTTCTTGTCTGATTCAGGAATCATTTAGTATTTTGAGTGACATACAGATTTTAATGGAAAATTAAAGAAAATAACATTTAAATCCATTTTTCTTACCCTGCTTCTCGGGGTTTAATCTAGACCAAAGCTTCTCTTGCTTTTAAATGAATTCTTTTTTTTTATTTATTTTTTTATTCCGTCTCTCAAGGTTTATCCAACAGCTGAAGGATGATCTGTATTTAATCACCAATATTCTACTCCAGATTTAAGTGTTCATAAACCTCAAATGATTCAGATTACAGTAAAACTGTGAGGTATTGCCTCACCACACTTCCACTCCAACCCCATTTAAATAAAGAAACAATAAAAATCCCAAAAATCATTTTTATGTTTTTATCATTTAGATATCCAAATTAATTGATAGATTGTTGTTGTCTAATGATTTAGTTTCAGTCTCTTTTATTAAACATGCTAGCTGATAGGAAATGTTGGTAGACTTAAAGAAAACGTATTTAATCAAATAAAGAAATATTGGCCCACTGATGTTCTAGTAATGCTACCGGAACCCAATGCAGATATTTTATGTATGTCTAAATTTTAAATGCATATTCCTTTTTGCTACTTTCAGAGCTTGTTAAACCACACATTAAACAAGCTGATCTTTATTGCTTCAATAGTTTGTCTATCTGCATGGATAGCCACCCCGCAGGAGGCTGCTTCATACTTTACCAAACTGTATAGCTAGTATAGCCTCAGCTTAATAACAGCCATTTGGGGCGATTCTTTTTTATTCTTTTTTATTATTACTGATGGTTAGAAATAATGACTATGCCAAAGAAATAAGAGAATTTTACAATTTTTAAGGAAATAGCATTTTTTGCAGTTCTTTTGCCTTAAAGAATTCGTTTTGACAAGTATAAATTAACATTTTGTGAAAGGTGAATTGATCAAGGGATGTCCTGTTACAGCTTTTTATTTCCGATACCATAACGATGTTACAGTATTTCCCAATACAACCTGGGCTTGACTCCTATACACCTATTTTGTAGTGTGAGATGTTAGAAAAGACTTGATCAAGTGGTATAACTCAAACAGAACAGTAGATGACAACAACATTTATGAGAACAACTGACACATGTCAAAGCCAAAGGAGTTACTGCAACATTTTGGGATAAGTTCATACAATTGAACTGATTATATTATTTACCAAGGGATTACCTAAGCTTAAGGCAGAGGGAGGGGGTTTCTATCTATGATAGTTTCTGATATTTGTTTTTCTTTTTAGCTGATAAGGGACAGATTTTCATTAGTTAAGTTGCTGACTAACACTTTCTGTGCACCTGATGCATTAGCATCTGATGTCTCTTGATGTGACCCCATGGCTCTATCTAGTTTGACAAACTTATACATTGAGACTCTCTGTCTGCTGGAGACGCACTAGGGAATAATAGCCATTTTCTTGGCATGGTTCATGGCATTGTGAATGTGCATAAATGTCTTCAGATTACCGGATTTCGCTTGTTTGTTAATTTGTTGAACGAATATAGTTGCATGTTTGCAGTTGACAGAAATCTATGTTTTTTTCAAAATTTTCATCCCAAGTATCATGGGCAAACAGTTTGAAGAGCAACAACATATTCATTTTGTAGAATTGCTTGTCATAGCAATGTCTCTCGCCAATTCTAGTGCCATGCCTGCTGAGGGTTATAGATTCTTGGAAGCACACAAATTATATATATATATATACACTATTTTCTGCTGTCCTCAATTCTGGGCTATTGCCATCAAATCCCTTTGCGATATGTATCTGATGATGCAAATCTGAACGACAATCAAGATAGGCCAAAGATGGACAGAATTGAGAAGAATAATGATAAAGTAACTGTTACCATTTTAGCATTATGTTACAACTATGTCCTGATTGCATGATTTTCTAATAACATGCAGCCCTAGTCCAGCCAGACATGTTTCATTTCAGTGACGACATTCTCGATTAAGCTACTTATGGTTTATTTGCTGCTGTCTGCCATATTGGTCATATGTCATTACTAGTCGTATCATATCTGACATTGTTGGTTGGGGCTCTTGTATTGGAGTAGCATAAAATTCCACCCCTGTTCAAAGTCTACCAAAAGCTGTAATCAAGTCTTTGGTACATTATTATGCCTTATGGATGTTTGTCGTATTTATTTTTGAAGTACTTACAGATGATATAGGTTGGAATGGTGTTTGTTTCCTTTTCTGTGTCACATTCTTCTCATATTTTGAATGTTGATGGGGATGCTTGGATTTCTGTGGCATAATTTTTATGCCACTGACCTAAGCGCGCCGTAAGACTGATGCCTAGGGCTTAAATTTGAACATTCTCACTCAAAACCTGTTTTCCCAGCTCTCAACTCAAACTCTGCTCTGACACCTGGGCTCTCTTGCTTCCGTCCTTTTCCTGGTGTTCTCGATAAAGTTTCTGCGTACAGAGTGTGCTGTTTGCTCATGCCATGCTGGATATGCTGTTTGTCGTGCATCACAGGTTTTGGCCATGTAGTTTTGGTTGTTAAATATATATCGGATGAAAACGGACAATTACTTTTTTCAAATTCAAGTTGTTTCTATGAACATTGTGGGTTTTCTTAACAAAAAATGGGTAACACTAACTTTGTCCACATGTGTAAATGGATTATTAGTGGCCTCCTTCATATCATTGGAGTTGGCTGAGGAGGCACTCATTAATAGTTTAAATACAGTATGACATGTATGTGGAAATTTCTAGACGGGGCAGCCTCAGGTTTAAATGTTGGACAACGGTTATTACCTGCAATGCATCCCTGATCCGCCCTTCTTGGTTCAGATGCTGCCATTAAACCAGGGTATTATCCCCGCTGCTTCCAGTGGCCCTGGATCATTTAGGCCTTTTACCACTTTTGTACCCAGGCATTGCCATTTGTTCCCACTGTCTTCCATTTTGATAAATGTAAATAAATAATTTTGTACCCATAAGAATCAAACTTTTGTATATCGGTTTATATAGTCTATCATCTAATTTTAACAGGAAAACCTGAATCCATTTTTGCACTATGTTGCAACTAAAAGTGTTACGAAATTCCTGATTAGAGTGTTATACGTTCCCAAATAATATGGTGAATCGATAGATTGAAAGAAGAAATTGAGAAACAAATATCTATATTTAATTTGAGTAGCTAGTGTAAAATGAATAATAAAAGATAATGTGATTAAAAAGTACTGTTGTGTTTAATTTCATGTTTTAAAGGAATAAATTCAATCTTTCAATTTAGAATTGAACACATAAAATAAAAGTAAACTAAAATCTGCATTTGATTTTAATTATTTAGAGAAGTTGGGTCATAATGACAATATTACGAAATGCATTAAATATAGTAAATGTAATGTATAAAGCCAAACTAAAATGCAGTAAAACTAATGAAATTATCAATTTAAGATGAGTTAAGATGAGTTATTCGGTTAAGCATAACTGATCGAAATGACTAAAAGTCAGACGAAAACACGTGCTTTCAGTTTGCCAAAGCAATACATTTACTGCCCTAAGGCTTTTTGAGAAATACTTACTGTGTAGTTTTAAAACTTGATGTATAGATATTAATGTAGATTATTTTTCTAAAAATTGTATTTTTCCTTTTTTTCTTCAGGAGTTCTTCGATCATGCAAAGAAGCTGTGGGACGATGAAGGAGTGAAGGCATGTTTCGAGAGATCAAATGAATACCAGCTCATCGACTGCGCACAATAGTAAGAGTCCAGCCTTAAGAATGCATTATTTTTGTCTCATCACTCTAAGCCTTCATTAAAACATCCCAAACACATGTGTATTTATTTCTAAAAGACCTGGAAAGCAAGTTTTTTTTTTTTTCTTTAGTGGGGGGGAGAAACCATGCAGCGCGTGTTCTGGTGTCAGGTCATATATGATCACAGCTGAGATATGTTTACTCTGGGAGTGGCGAGTCAAACTACAATTGTTGTCAGCCTTTGGAAAATCATACACATATCTCTTCACGTCAGTGTGTTTGACATGTCTCCATGGCGATATGCAAAGCTGGGTCTGATTCACACTCAAATGTGCCAGTGTTGGACCTCTTTGGAACTATTGTATTGATTTAGCAGCAAGCTCTGAGCACTCCTATTTACCCTTTTGATTATTGGGTGATGTTTTGGTGCCACAGAACCAATGCGGGTCATGAGTTCACTTTGACCAGAAGTTTTTTGTAACCTTCACAGAAGTTGTAGTTTAGTTATTGCTGTTAAGAAGTGCTGATAACTGCAGCTCTATGTGGGAAGGTGCAACTATTGGTGAGTTTTTCCATAGTGCTTCTTTGAAGGGCTCATTCAGAACTAAAGACACAGTAGAGGGCCTCCTCTGTTGCCTGTAAAAGGAAGTTTGGACATGCAAAATGACAAGCCAGTTACCGTACTCTTCTTCTGCTTCCTCTCTTTATACTCATGTAAATAAGATGAGGTGTACATTGTCAACCACATGTAATAACTCCCCTGTAATAAAGATGCATAAAGGCCATGAAGTTAATTATTCCTTAATTGCAGTTGTGTAAGCTCTCAAAAATAGAGCTCGATCTCTACAGTAAATATAATTTTTTTAAAATAGAATTTAAAGCGAACAAGTTAAGTATGAAATATGTCAGACTTATTTTTGAAGTTACACACAATGTAAGTAGATTAGAGTCAGAAAGAACTATTAATTGGCAAAGAAATGGTCCCTTTAGCCGTTTCTTTCCATGCAAAATGATTCAATTCTGTTTATTTATATAGTGCCAATTCAAAACACCTCATCTCAAGGCACCTTACAGAGACAATTCAACCACTCTAGTCAAACAGTGAGATTGTTTTTCTATTTAAGAAAAAACAGTTGATTGCATCGACTTATTGACATGAAAGCAATCCCTCACACCAAACATGCTTATAGCAACAGTGGAGAGGAAAACTCCCTTTTAATAGCAAGAAACCTCCAGCAGAACCAAGCTCAGTGTGAGCGGCCATCTGCCGAGGCTGACTGGGGTTCAAGAAGACAGAAGCAGAGATACAAAAGGCAAATCTTAATCAGTTCCACAGGCGGCCCTGTCCAGGAAACACACAGCCAGGCAGACGAGCTCCAAAGCAGCTCCCAAATTGTAGAATAAAAGAGAGCACATACAGTTAGTCAGAGTAAGAAAAACAGGACTACACTGAAAAACAGGCCAAGCTCAAACATCTATAATCAAAGGTGTTGATGTCATGAGCACAGCTGATATTTCTCTCTGGGATGGTGTCACAGCCAAACGGGAACAGACCAGATGAAGCCACTATGAGAAAGCATCACATTAGAGATTGAACAAACAAATTCTGCAGAATGGGAAAATAGAGATAGAATAATGCAAAGGGGTCCCTATGTCCTCCACTAATCTAAGCCTATAGCAGCATAACTATAGCGATGGGTCAGCATAACCTAAGCCACTTTAACTATAAGCTTTATTTAAAAGTAGACAGGGTGTCTGCCTCACGGACTAAAACTGGTAGTTGGTTCCACAGGAGAGGAGCCTGATAACTAAAGATCTGTCTCCCATTCTACTTTAAGAAATCCAAGGTACCAGTAGTAAACCCTCAAATTGAGAGTGAAGTGCTCTTTTAAGAACATAAGTGACAATCATATCTGTGATATAAGATGGAGCTTGGTCATTTAAGGGTTTATATGTGAGAAGGAGGGTTTTAAATTCTATTCTGGATTTAAAAAGGAAGCCAATGAAGAGAANCAGCGCGTGTTCTGGTGTCAGGTCATATATGATCACAGCTGAGATATGTTTACTCTGGGAGTGGCGAGTCAAACTACAATTGTTGTCAGCCTTTGGAAAATCATACACATATCTCTTCACGTCAGTGTGTTTGACATGTCTCCATGGCGATATGCAAAGCTGGGTCTGATTCACACTCAAATGTGCCAGTGTTGGACCTCTTTGGAACTATTGTATTGATTTAGCAGCAAGCTCTGAGCACTCCTATTTACCCTTTTGATTATTGGGTGATGTTTTGGTGCCACAGAACCAATGCGGGTCATGAGTTCACTTTGACCAGAAGTTTTTTGTAACCTTCACAGAAGTTGTAGTTTAGTTATTGCTGTTAAGAAGTGCTGATAACTGCAGCTCTATGTGGGAAGGTGCAACTATTGGTGAGTTTTTCCATAGTGCTTCTTTGAAGGGCTCATTCAGAACTAAAGACACAGTAGAGGGCCTCCTCTGTTGCCTGTAAAAGGAAGTTTGGACATGCAAAATGACAAGCCAGTTACCGTACTCTTCTTCTGCTTCCTCTCTTTATACTCATGTAAATAAGATGAGGTGTACATTGTCAACCACATGTAATAACACCCCTGTAATAAAGATGCATAAAGGCCATGAAGTTAATTATTCCTTAATTGCAGTTGTGTAAGCTCTCAAAAATAGAGCTCGATCTCTACAGTAAATATAATTTTTTTAAAATAGAATTTAAAGCGAACAAGTTAAGTATGAAATATGTCAGACTTATTTTTGAAGTTACACACAATGTAAGTAGATTAGAGTCAGAAAGAACTATTAATTGGCAAACAAATGGTCCCTTTAGCCGTTTCTTTCCATGCAAAATGATTCAATTCTGTTTATTTATATAGTGCCAATTCAAAACACCTCATCTCAAGGCACCTTACAGAGACAATTCAACCACTCTAGTCAAACAGTGAGATTGTTTTTCTATTTAAGAAAAAACAGTTGATTGCATCGACTTATTGACATGAAAGCAATCCCTCACACCAAACATGCTTATAGCAACAGTGGAGAGGAAAACTCCCTTTTAATAGCAAGAAACCTCCAGCAGAACCAAGCTCAGTGTGAGCGGCCATCTGCCGAGGCTGACTGGGGTTCAAGGAGACAGAAGCAGAGAAACAAAAGGCAAATCTTAATCAGTTCCACAGGCGGCCCTGTCCAGGAAACACACAGCCAAGCAGACGAGCTCCAAAGCAGCTCCCAAATTGTAGAATAAAAGAGAGCACATACAGTTAGTCAGAGTAAGAAAAACAGGACTACACTGAAAAACAGGCCAAGCTCAAACATCTATAATCAAAGGTGTTGATGTCATGAGCACAGCTGATATTTCTCTCTGGGATGGTGTCACAGCCAAACAGGAACAGACCAGATGAAGCCACTATGAGAAAGCATCACATTAGAGATTGAACAAACAAATTCTGCAGAATGGGAAAATAGAGATAGAATAATGCAAAGGGGTCCCTATGTCCTCCACTAATCTAAGCCTATAGCAGCATAACTATAGCGATGGGTCAGCATAACCTAAGCCACTTTAACTATAAGCTTTATTTAAAAGTAGACAGGGTGTCTGCCTCACGGACTAAAACTGGTAGTTGGTTCCACAGGAGAGGAGCCTGATAACTAAAGATCTGTCTCCCATTCTACTTTAAGAAATCCAAGGTACCAGTAGTAAACCCTCAGATTGAGAGTGAAGTGCTCTTTTAAGAACATAAGTGACAATCATATCTGTGATATAAGATGGAGCTTGGTCATTTAAGGGTTTATATGTGAGAAGGAGGGTTTTAAATTCTATTCTGGATTTAAAAAGGAAGCCAATGAAGAGAAACCAGGATAGGAGAGATATGATCTCTCTTTTTAATTTTCGTTAGAACTCTGGCTGCAGCATTTTGGATCAGCTGAAGAGTTTTAACTACAGTTTGTGGGCTTCCTGATAGTAAAGAATTACAATAGTCCACCCTTGAAGTAACAAATACATGGACCAGTTTCTCAGCATCACCCCTGGATATTTCTTCTGGAGTGAAAGAAAGAAATTCTAGAAACCTCCTTGATATGGGATTTAAATGACAGTTTCTGATAAAAATGAAGTGACTGACTAATCAGCCTCTTTTTCAAAGACACTGGTCCAGAGGCTCTAACTTCTGTTTTTTCTGCATTCAGAAGCAGAAATTATGTTTCTTTGAGCCACGCTTTAGAATGAGGACAAGAGAACATGCCATTCAACAAAGGCAAATGTATTTTGATCTTTGTAAATAGGGACAGGCTTATCATTGAATAGCTACCATCTAAACTTTATAGGCAGTCAGTAACTGACAAACGAGGCTGGATGAGGACCAAAGTTTATCTTACCACCACCTGCAGTCAGTAGGACGGCTAGAGGTAAGAAAAAAAAAGTTCTTTAAAGCTCATTGTTGGAAACCTGGAGCAGCAAGGGATATCTATAAGCAAGAAAGTCCTAAAGTTTTCTGTCTTACCATCATAAATATGTGGAGTTCAATAAAACTACTGGTACTTTTACTGGAGAACATCACTTTGCTTTGTTGAGACTAAGAATAAGAGTTTTACCAAAAAAATTAACCAAACCCTTAATGTTGGTCTGGCATGAAACGATAACCATATGGTAAATAGCCCTTTTCCCCAATGTTAAATATGGAGGTGAATTTCTCATGCTGTGGACCTCTTTCTTTTCGAATTCCCCTGGGAATGTTGTTAAAGAACACAGCTCTTTGACTCATTTGAAATACCAGGAGAGAAAAAACGGGTCAAACATGTGTCAAACATTTGGCTAAATCAAAACATAAATAGTACACTGGACACAATGTCCATCTCAGTATCCAGGTGTAAACCTGAGAATCCGAGGCTCGAGCTGACAAAGTACATCTTCCCCTATGGAGTAAATGTACTTGGATAAAATGTTGAATTATGTTAATGTTTCTCAGGAATACATCTACTGGG